TTTATTTTTTTTTATCAGAATGGTGGCAAAAATTTGAATTATTTTTATATCACATATGAAATTATTATGATTTTTGGTGTCATTTATGTTTGTTATGAATGAGAGTTTTTTTTTTTTTTTTAACACAAGTTGAAGTTTACTTTACAAAACTGTGCCGAGTCTTTTATTGGGAACGGTTCCCATTGTCAACTCTGACCTGAATTGAACTTCCGAATGGATATCCGTTTTTATGAACTGCTTACTCAGAACGATCGAAGCAGAAGCCGTCATGATTCTTATCCAGGAAGCAATCTTTCACACAGATAGCGAATTCACTTGCTGTATCAATTATTGTGTTAATCGATGATGTGATAACATTTGCCATATTGCGTACATTTTTCGTTATCGATAATGCAATTACGCGCAATAGGTCGGTTATATTCGTCTTCGGGATACGTGGTCCACTATTGGTATCGACACATCTATTATTGTAATTGTTATAATATGCTAAACTATTGATGAAATATTTTCTTTTTTATCATCAATCATGTTCATCCTCTGTGAAGATTTTATCAAAATTATTAAATAAAAAAAATTTTGACACATTTAAGTATAATCAAATTCTCAAAACTAAAATTATATAATGATTTTTGGTGAACATAAATTAGAGTGCTATGCAGTTAGAAGAAACTATCATACTAGTAATTTATGAATATCATGATAATAATCAATAACAGTTTCAACAATTAATTCTCTTACTACTTTCATAAATCATTTTCAACACTTTCGTGATCATTTCATCATCGTGATCAGATTATAATTATTGAAATTTGAAAAGTTATGCAGATAAAAGTTTGTGCCTTCTTTTTTTACTACCAAAAATTAAGAAGACCTTACGAATTGATGTTTTTTTCGAAACACGAAAAAAATGCAATCATCACTTGCTGTTTTTGCTGAAAACAAGCCTTGAGATCTTCCAGTTGATCAGTTATCTATAAAAAATAATCAAGTAGTAATAATAGTCTAAAAAAGTTGTCAATTTTATAAGGAACTTCAAGATTATTATTGAGAGAGTCCACTAAGAGCGTATGGAATTTTCATTAACATTTTTATTATCTTAACCATTCCGAAGTATCTCATAACAGCAGTTTTAAGCAATTCGGTTGCATGGTAAAATGCAATCATTGATCGATCATTTTCTCTTTTGCTAATTGAGGAGATATTTAATTGATTAATGCTGACTTGATAGTTACAGATTTCTATTTTGAAACATTCAAATTTATTGAATCTAAGGTCTCCAACTTACTAAATTTGAATTTGTTAAAATTAATAAAGTGTAATAAGCAAACAAATCAAAATTGAAGTAAGATGATTTTTGCAGAAATAGACTAAAGATGAAACAAACTCGCCACATGCATATTTTATTCTTTTCCCGTCAAATGGTTTAATGAGATTTTCGTTACATTTAGAATGAAATTTCTTTCAGTTAAAGGAAGTAGTTTTTTTTTAATTTTCTACTTTATTTTTTGAAAAAACAAAAATTTTTGAGGGGAGTATATTTTTTTCCACAAACTTTGTCACTTGTTTCTATCAACTGAAAAATTTTCCAATTTTTAAACTTTCTTCTAAGGATCGAAGAAACACGTAAGGATTGATTGCTCAATTTTCCCCTAAAAACAGGAAGTTGTTGATACAAAAAAAAAACAAAAATTGAATTTCAACAAAATTCTCCAGCAAATTTTTAAAATTTCTCGTGAAATGCTGCCAAAATGATTCATCGTGTACATTTAAAAAAGTGATTCATTTGTGTATATTTTATTAAAATCATGAAAGAAATTTCCAAATTACCATTTTGTTTTTTCCGCTTTCATCCGAAATTAACTGCCAAAGTATATTGAATGATCAGTTTTATTCAGTTTAATAACATTAATTGCAAATTTACTCGCTCATCTATTCTTTTCATTTTTTTTATATTGCACAATTACATCTTAGCAGTATTTATTTCATTAAACGAACTTAACTTTTAATTTTACAATCTTAAACAAGCTTGCTGCAAATAAATTCTTTTTGTCATCATTATTACTATTAAACTAACAAAATAATCTTGCAAGAAACTTTCAAAATTATTTAATTCTAATCTTTAATCTATAAAAATAAGCCCTATCACACTATTCATGAAATCAATAAGCTTATAAAGGTGTTTATTTATGATATTATTTGAAATAAATCGTTTAATCAAATTGTGAAAACGATCTTACTTGTTGAAATTTGAATAAGCATGGCGAGATACAATTAGCTGTTTGATTTTTCATTTCTTTAATACATGTATGTTGTTCGTCACATGAACAAGTCCTCACATCAACACCAGTTAGTATTGTTGTTCCATTAAATGCTGATTTTTCTTGTGTAATTACCTTTAATTTTAATTGTAAATTTTTGAAATATGATTTGAAAATTAAAAAATTTTTATTACCATTAATTTTACTGATATAATTTTGGATCATGTTCTTCTATCATTTCAATTGATCAGTATAATATCGATTGCCTACAGATAAAAGATTTTGAATAACTGAAAAAGAAAGAATATGCATTCATCAATCGCCAATAATTTAAATAATTATATGCTTCAATTTATTTTACTTTTTTTCTTATCAATCAATATTTTACTTTTCGTAGTCATTCATTTTAAATGAATGCTAATAAAATTTATCTTTGCGGAAGAAAAATTATCAACTTTCTAAAATTTCAAAAGGAATTATCATGTAGATAATTGTACATATAAAAATGTATTTTAATTTCAACTGCAGCTCAATTTATCTAAACTACAGTATGCTTAATCTCTAAGTATGATAATAAATTTTTTAATCAAACATTTCTAAACAATATACCATTAGCTGATAATTTGAAGAAAACACAGTTTTGGAAATTTTTTCAAAATCCTTATCAATTACAAAATGATTCCAATCATATGGAAAAGTGATATACTGAATGTTTATACTGATTTGTTATTCCAGGGACGACAAAGATTCATTAATTTGATCTCTTCCTATCCATTTCACATATAATCGTTAATCATTAATTACAATTAAGGTTGACTGATTTTTGCATTTTAAATTAATTGCATGAGAGTCAAACAAAAATTTAAATGTTTTAAATAAACTAAATGAAACTTATTATGAAACCAATTCGACTTACCCGATCAAAAATACTTGATAAGGCGAGAGATAATTGTATGATAGAAAAATTGACCAAAAGGAAGGTAATAAAAGTTGTAGCCGTTGCAGTAATCATGAATAGTGATTGAAAAAGTAATAAGATTATTAGAACAGATTACTTCTGTTGCCAGTTTGAAAGTTAAGTTAGGAGTAACTGAGAGAAAAGTTCATAGAATGAGCTATGTATATATTATTTTTGATGTTTGTGAACACATACAATGTCATCACAGTGCAGCAAAAAAAAAGAAAAGTTTTAATCACTGAATGACAAAAACTAATGCATCAAAAAAATGATGGCTGACTTATTTCTTCAAATCATTACTTTTCCACCTTTTCTGCCGCATATCATTTTTTTTTTTGTCATTTCTTCTTTGATGTTTGCTCTCAATCACATACCACTTTAAATTTTGGAAATTGAAATATTCATTCATTTGAGCAGTTACTAACTTTTTAGACTTAAATTATTCATAAGTAGAAGTTTAGTCATAGGTCATTGTTGTTTTCATTTGTGTAAAGGCTATTTCTATCAAGATAGATACTAAAATGATAGATTGCAATTGTACTACGTCATACAATGATCACGCTTCTTATTATTTCGCTTAATTATTCTTCCCTATTGATTTACATTCAAAGATTCACAACATATAAAAATTTCATTTTTGTTAAATTTCAAACTGTTTAGGCAAAAAAAAATGCTTTTTACAATGTAATTAATTTCTATTTTATTGAAATAATTGAAATATTTCCTTAAAGATCGCCAAACGATGGATGAGGTTAAATGATAATTTTTCCAAACAATGATAGAACAAAACTGGACAGTACAATGCGCAAATGGGTTAAAACATCACTGATCAAACCAGTAGTAATCCATTTGCGCATTTATCGATTGCGATGATGCCCTCGATGAGAAAGCAATCCATTATTACTATAAAATCAACTTTTCCATTTTACCAACAATTCTTCACAAAATTGAATTTGATAATTACCTTTCGTTATCTCTTCTCAACATATTTATGTACACTATTTCTATTTTTCTGGGAGGTTTTTTTTTGCTTTTTTCTTTTCTTTCTGCTAAATCAAATTAGAAATGAAAAAATCTACGAATATGCTTAGAGCTAATATGAAAGTAAAAAAAAAATTGATCGCTTACAGATATATCCAAGAGAAATTAATATTAACTCTTAAAAATGCTATCTTTCGAAAATTTTTTCCAACATAAATTTACTAACTTTTTCTCCATCTAAAAAAAAAAAAAATTTGCTCATAAAAATCTTAGGATAAAACAATTGGAAAATTTTTTCCATTATGCATTTTTAGCATCCTTTCTTTTAATATTCTAAAATCTTCTCAATTAAATTATACTGCATTTTTTTTAAAGAAATTATTTTAGTAAATTGTTAATGGAAAGAATCGTTTCAATAATTTTACAGACGAAGTGAATAGTGGAACAGTAACTGTGAGTAATATCAAAAATAGAGAAGGAAGTAATGAACCAAAAAAAAAGAAAATGATAATTTATTTTTGTAGACGTTTGAAAATTTCTGGTGATTTCATAAGAAAATTTTACTACTTAAAAAAAATATAATTAATAGTGAAAAGAAGCAAAAGGATGGTTCAGTTCACATTATTCTTGTTTTTTCCCTCCCTCTTTCCTCCTCCATCCCATTACAGCATTTTCCATTCAAAAATAAGAAAACCTTTATCATATTTTCTAAATAAAATAGTGAAAGATTATATTAAAATTTAGAATATAAATTAAAATTATAATAAAACGATCATATTTAGGCAATGGGAGACAAATAAAATTTAACGAGTGCTGAGGACACATTCTATCGTAGAAACAACCAATGGCGGCTCGCCGGTTTCCCATTGTTTTTTTCTGTTGCAAACTAATGGTATTGATACGATTCCTGGTTGAATATTTATAAAATTCATTTGATTTACTGTTATACCAGACATCAGTTGCAACGGTGGTGTTACTGTTGGTTGTCTACAATTGAAATTTCAATTTGAACATTTTAAGTATTAATTCAAATTTCAGAAAAAATTTTTATTCATTGTTTAATTTGAATTCTTATTCAAATATAATGATCTTCGTTTGAATTTCAACTTACATTTAATGCTAATTCCATTATCTAAAATTTATTTATAATTAATTACAGCTTTAAAACATAAGAAGATTTTACATTACTAATATTTCACGTTTATTTGGCAAATTTGTTAGAATTAGAAAAAAATTAAAAATTACTTACGAGCAGGTTGCAATGGCTAATGAATGACAGGTACTGCTGCTGTAAATGAATGACATTATGCCATTTGATAGATTTGTATTATTCGTTGGCGAAACTGACAACTGTTTACAACAAACTGAAAGGAATCGAATTATATGACAGTATTCTATTCATATATTGCTATTATCAAGATTATCAGAGTAGTTTAAAGTTAATTTAGTTCAGCATTTCATCTAGTAGTAATCTTCCTAAAGAAGACCTTTAATACCAGATGTTAAGTTTGTGTTTAATTCATTTACTTGTAGCTAACGGATATCACTAAAAAAACATGCAAAGGGGAGTTGGTGTTGGTGTAGAAGGTTGAACTGAAGTTGAAGTTGGAGTTGCAACTGGCGGAGTAGCTGCGCAAGCGTAAGTGACGGGTAATTGCATGGTTGCCAAAAGGGTGATCATATATACCATTAACGAAAAGTTATTCGACTGAAATAGAAATAAAATGATGTAAATTCTTCTTTTTAAAATTATTTCAAAGCAATCATAATTTTCATAGCATTGTATCGAAAATGATATGAAGCATGAAAGTTCAAAAGATTAGTTATCATTCTCTTCAACTCTGAGATACTACTTTTCAATGAAATAATTATTAACCAGTATAAATTCATTTGTTTAATATACCAAAGAATAAATGATAGAGTGGTACTAATCTTTTCATCAGGAATTTAGAAGTGTCCTGAAATTGAGCAAATATCAATAAGACAGATATAATATTATTAATAATTAGTATATTATTGTTTCTCAGACATAAGCGCGGGTACGATTCTTTAAACAATACAAACATTTACCTCCATTATTAAATTAGGCAAAACATATTGAATGCAAATCAAATTGAATTTATGAATAAGTGTGACCTTTTTAGTTAACATATTATGGTTCCATAATATTTTAAGCAAAAATGTAATCACAACTTGTTAACATCTTCTAATACTACTAATTTCCTCTAATAACAGTAATTATATAATCTGATAATTTAACGTCAACATAAAAGCTTACCCTGTAGATTATGAAATTAAAAAAAAATAAGCGACTGGAAAAGAAAAGAACTGATAAGGATCAAGTAAAGAACAACAATGACAAATTGAAATTATTGAAATTAGAAATTATGAACAAAAAATTTCTATCTCACAGTCAGAAAAATTAAAAATGCAGTCTGTGTTAGACTGAATCTTTGGGAAATATTTTATTTCTTTATTACCAATTATGTAAGTAATTAAAATTATTGTTCGGCTTGACTTTGCGCTGTTATTGAATAAATTACATTTTTATATGAAAACACTAAATAAATGTGTTCAAAATTTGTTTTCATAGAAACTTTTTCTGAATGCAATGATTCAGATGAAATCGTGACGAAATGATTTCCTGATGAGATGGATTCGACAATAAAATATTTTCTGCTCACATACATAAAAGTGTGAGTTTTTTCTTTCTTTTTTTCTGAGAAAAACTAATATTTAATTCAATCTATCTTTTGATTTTGTATTTCAAAAATGATTTCAATACAAAATATGAATGTGTGAATTAAAGAAAATAACTAGAAAGATAAAACTGTTGCAGAAAATAAAAAAATTATTTGCAAATGATTTCAAAGAAACTTACAGGTAAATTCGAACCAGATGAAGTAATGAAAAATGCTGTAAAGTTATCCATAAATAGATAACATGAGCAGGAATATGACGAACAATTTTAAACGGCTAAATGGGAAAGAGGATTGAATGCGTCTGATTACCAAATATCAATTTTTAGACATTACTCAAAAGTAGTTTGAGGTCAGCATATATGGGTGGCAAAAGGATAAGGTTTCACATGAGCAGGCATTTAGTATCGCTATTATGGGATTTATTTAAGATATTCAGGCAAATAAAAATGACATTTCAATGTCATTCAATTATATTACCCCTCTCATCCCTTTTCATATATGTGCGTAATAAACATTCAAAATATATCAGCAATATTTATTTCTTCTCCTTCCCTCACCTTTTCAACCTTACCTTATGCTTGTTGTTTCCATATCTTTGTTATCCTTGTTGTATCCGTTCAACTCTAATCCATCTTCTTTCCCTCAAACATTTCATCATCCATTATGAGTATTTTTCCATTGAATATCTAACAAAAAAAAAAACATGAGAATAGAATACCGCATTTTTTTTTGCTTTCCAGAACAGTCTTATCGGATGTCCTTAATACGTAACATTAATAACTCAAAAATAATTTGAGGTCAACATATATGGGTGGCAAGAGGATAAAGTTTAACATGAGAAGGCATTTAATATAGCTACCAGCAATTGTAAAAAAAAAAAAAAACATACATGTATAATTGGGATGTAAATCATATGGGACTACAATTTGTTGCAATTGTTCGATAATGCAATCTATGAAGAAAATCTAAAAATAATTTGTATTTGATATGATTTTTTTTAAAAGATCATTTAAGATTAATTTTGTTTCATCAATCGTAACGGTATTTTAATGAATACATTGCTCTGTTCATTTATTTTGCAAAAATCAATAAACTAAATGAAAAAAAAGAAAATGAGGAAACTTTGGATCAATAATTTGATGATCAGTGACAACAAATTAAAATCTTGACAGTTTTAAGTATTGATAAAAATTGGAATAAAATTTTAAAAATCAATTAGATTAGGAAATAATACTAAAAATGAATTCAGTTAATATTTATATCATCCAAAAATAATTCATCTTTTTCTAATTTCTTCTATTATAGTATCTTAAAAAATAATTTCCAATTTCTTTCCTTATATTTCCTCCTTTTTTATTTCTTTTCTATACGTTCATTTATTTTAGAAGTTATTTGAAGTTTTGGAAAAAAAATTTTAATGAAAAAGAAAATTTTTTCATAGACTATTTTATATTTACCTGCTAGTTATCATTATATAACAGTAATTTAAGATAGCTTAAATCTAAACTTATTCAACAAAAAGACATAAAACTACAACCTAATAAATAAAGATAATTAATCAACAGATGCAATTAGAAGCAGCAGTACAGCACTTTTCCTGAATAAACAATTCAAAAAACAGTCAAAGGTTTGAAATATATTTCCTAATAATATTTGCTAAAATGTTTAATTAATTTATTTTCAAAGATGCGAAAAATTTTTGATTCAATTCTTTTCCATTCAAACAGAAAAATAATAACTTGATTTTAAAATTGATAACGATGAAAAATGGATAGTAATTTAATTCTATTCATTTCCAAGTTTATTATGTCCATTTTGCCCATAGTAATTCAATGATAACTATAAAAATTTCTTGTAATTTCTTTGTAAACATCAAAAAATAAAATGAAAATTCAATTAACATAATAGCATAAATAATTGTTGTAATAATGGCGGAGAAATAACTACTACTGCTCTGATTGTAATATAATTTTTACCTGGTCTCAGGCAAAAAAAAATTCATTTAGTTATGCAGAATTTTTTTTGGTCATTTTTTGCTGTTGTTGATATCAAAAATATTTCTAGGTTTTGATCTGATTTCTTTTAATTAAAAAATTTTTTCAACAATTATAATAAAAATTTTCTCAGATAAGTTTTTTGTTCGAATTTTTGACACGTTTTTAATAAAGTTAGTATTTTGAAAATTATCAAAAATATAGCTTTGCGGTGTATCCGCTCTGAATCGATATGATAATCGGAATATATTCAAATAAATTTAATGAAATCCAATCAACCATATTTGATCAATTTTGATGGATTATGATGCTATTTTTTTTTAAAAGATAATAAACTGAAATAATCGAGTGATTGTTAGATAAATTGATATGAAATATCAAAAAAGAAAGTACGATATCATTACAGTTTATTGATAATAATGAGAACATAACAATTACACGTATACAATACATTCTACCAGTGATAACAATAAACAGGTATTATTATTAAAAATAAACTTAGTGATGTCTTCTAGAATTATATGAAATCTTCACTAATTTTCATTTCTTTTTTATTGTATTATTTTCAAAAACATTTTCTTCCAAATTTATTTTAAAATCTTAAATACATTGCAAGTCGGTGACTTCAAACTTTTTTTTAACGGTTATGTGTAAATTGATTTCCTTTGAAGAATGTTCCATCGAACCGCTGTATTACACTTCATTTTCTTGTCACTGATGAGATATGATGTGTACGTGGAATGAGTACACAAATATCAATTTCATCTGTCATACCAACATACGGATACTACTGATGATATGTATGGAATTTAAAAAAAAAAGAGAACACATTTGTTGGATCAACAAAGAGTAACCATTACGTGCACTGAAAAATTCAAAAATACATATTAGAAAATAGTAATGCTATAAAATTTTCTAATTTTGAATTATCCCATTTAAATATTATTAAATTTTTCTGAAAATTGAAGACAATATCAATGTATATGTTTCAGGATATCTGAGGCAACATCAGGATATTATGCTAATTTGGAAGATTTGCTACGAATATTTAAAATGATTGCTGAGTGGAAAAATTATTATTAAGCTTAGTATTCATTGCAGTCAAGATATCGTAATAAGATCGAGAGACGCAAGTAGCGTTACATTAGTTTAACTATCCATGCTATGCTGCAATATTTTTAAAGAAACGTATGAATCGAAAATCAAGTAAAATTAAAAATGCAGTTTTCCCCATAAAAATTTCAATTTTTATGAACCGTACAGTAAATTTTTCGAAACAGATAATATTTTATTGATTGAAGTGAAACATGAAACTGTAAATTTATTGATGATAAAAATGCAGTATTATAAGTAATAAAATAATTTGATGTCGGAATAGCTAATGTTATTCAAGTATTTGACAAAAATAATAAAAAAGCAAAGAAAGCACAAAGCTCGGAAGAATTCCTGATCAAAATGTAGGAACATTGTAAAATATCTAAGGAATGAATAGGGAGATAAGAACATTCCCATTAGGCACCAAGTTGTTCCGAAGATCAAATTGGATTATTAAGTTAAATTATACAAACTTCGTCACATTTAAAAAAAAAAACATTAATTAAGATAAGCCACTGATTATGCGAACAACGGGGTCAGAATTGGATAATGTTAACACCAATCGTTGACAGCTTGATGGAAAATGATCAAGAGAGTCCGAAAGAATGTGCCAATCATAGATATCTGATGCATGCCATGTAACATATTGTGAGATTAGTGCAAGCGCTGAATCAGCTTCTTTTCTTTCGCAGCTTCCTTTCACTATCACTGCAAATTTTATATAAAATTCAACTAAAATTCATTAAATCGATAAAATACAAATTTCAAAAGTTGCTATGAACACTAGAACTATGATGAGAGATATGTGATTAGTTATTAGAGTACGTTTAGTATAGATCATCTGCTTTTTAGAGTGCGTCACGTGATAATATTTCTTCAGCTTATTTGAAGTTTCCAAAAAATTAGTCTTGTCTAGCAAAACTGCTTGATTTTAGACAAGATGTCTAAATAGGACTTTGTGGATTTTACGTAAGTTTCGGTACGAGTGCGAAATAATGAGATGCATTTTTACTTACATTCTTCGCATTGCAAATAACATAACTGAAAAGAACAGAGTAGACTAAGTTCTCGTTCATATTTGCTTAATTCTTTTTTAGTGAACACCTGAAAAAATTGCAAGAGTAATTGCAAGACTTTTTTGTCTGAAGATTAATTACGGAACCATCTAGTGTAAAAAATTACAAGACCTTCTTTAGAATGCTTGAATTTAAATCTTCTCTGATAAAACTGAATTTAATTTTCTGTGCCAGTTTCTCATTCCACTGAATAGAAGAAAGGACTAAACCTTCAAGGATTAAGGCTTTTTTTTTAAAAACTTCAAAAATATGTTCATGTTCACAGAGCAAGTCAAAAATTTTAATGAAAACTGGAAAACTTACAATCGAAGTTGTCTAACATGTTTGGATATAGCATGGATCATCTTTTCTTATGATGTCAATATGTGTCATTCCAACAAATTGTAAAAATATTTACCTTGCCAGGAAATGCTCGTTCTCTGTTTTCGACATTCTTTAATGCTTCCAAATGGCATGTCTGATCGCATTTCAGAAATGTTAAAGGTTCCGTCTTTTCCAGGCAGCTTCGCGCTTCCAGAAAATGATGCTTCTTAAAATGGCATAGAAAATTTGACGGTGAAAACACTCGAACTGCAGGCTGAAAATTATCGTGAATGAAATTTTTTAAAATTAAAGCAGAAACATTCTGGTTAAGAACACCGTAATAAGTGATGGGTTTTACACGATGTAAATCTACTCGTACTGAGATAGAGATTTAAATGAGAAAAAATGAAATACAGAGTGATCGAGAAAGGAAATTTCAATAAAAGCTTAATTTCTTATTAAAATGTTGAAATCTGAAAATTTACTCCCTTTCCTTTTATTTTCTATATTTAAGCGTACCAAACCGAAATATTCTTAATATTACCAATTTCTGTTCTCTTTCCTTTTCCTGACAACATGCAATATTATTAAGAGAATAGTTACGTTTTGCAAAATAAAAATGGGATTTAAGAATTTCTAATTATTCATAAAGGTAAAATTCCATTATCTTTGACCAAACCTCTATGGAAGACATTATTTGGTATGCTTATCACTTGCTAGAAAACTTAAGTGGAAATGGATTCACTCTATCAAGTGAACAAAAGATATATTAGAACGGTCTGCCAATTCGGGTGATAACAGCCAATCAACGCTGCATTTTTCTTACCTTGCATTCTATTGAAATGAAAGTCTTTTTCTCCAGTACTTCAGAACCTAGATGAGGAATTATCAAGTCACATTATTTACACATGAGAAGCATATCCTGGTTTAGGCCAGGATAGCAAACGGAAAAAGTTAGGAATTACTCTATGGTCATTTTCTGAATTTTATAATGTAAATATTGTCGGGAAAATGAGAATAAGCAGAAAAAGCTTTTCTAAAGCAAATGAATATCATGTAAAAAATATAAACTGGCCTGATCATTACATTCATTAATGTAGCATTGAGTGCGTTGTTCCGATATATTGCAAAAGGTAACAAACCCAGTACGATCCAGCACTGCAGGATGTAATGGGAAGTCATAAAAATCAGTTGTGCTTAAGTTGAACTCACGTTCAAATACACTTTTCCATTCATTGTTGCAATCCTGCAAATTAAATAATCAGAATTTGCAACATATCAATAAAAGCATAATTTTAGGATTTTATTATAATCGATGACAATGTTACCCAAATTTAAGCAATAACGAAATCCGCTCAGTTTTACTGTATAATTGAGAAATAGATGAAATTCTTGATATTTTGGATCTCATGATGTGAATAATCTATCGCTAACAGATTTCTTGCACACAAGATCAACCAGTAAATTTAAAAAAATAGTGAATTAAATTACGATTCTTCTAGCTATTATCATTAAATCTTGTTTCGTTATTGGTAATAAAAAGCTCCCTTATTTTGCACCAATCAATCGAAATGCTCTTCTCTTGAAATTACCTGAAAACATGTGGCATCGGTGGAATTCACCTCGGAAACATACATAAAGTCGCGTTTCCATCGGAACTGATGGGTAAGTCTGAACTGGCCAATAATGATAGTAATAATAAGAAAGCGGCTGAACGGTAATGTACATAATCGTAAACTAATAATACTCATCACGAGAGTAACAATCACCACCCAACGAACTGCTTCCCTCCCCCTTTCTAGCAATATGTAGGTCAACCAACACAATTTGAAGATTCCCCAAATGACGCCCTACATGCGTTTCAAACCCAATTATTCCCATTCGTATTTTCATTAGATGTGCCTATCTTTATCTCATACTTCATCCGTTCAAAAATACTGTACAACTTCCCATGCAATGCAAAGATTGACCGACTTCAAAACTTCATTTTGCATAAAATTGGTTAAGAAAGACTCTCGATGGCAAGCAATCAAACCATCAAGTAAGCAAAGGAAAAACTACCACATGATATCGGTTAAAATTATACTGTTCCACCAGCACGAACCCCCCATCACTGATGGATTGAAAGAATGAATTGACATATACTTCCTCCAACAACTCACTTACAATGCAGCAGATCTATGAAAAGTGCGACAGAAACTTAACGTACAATGTTTCAAAAGAAAAAAGAAGGCTGATCTTCAATCCCGACTGTCACAACATTCGAAATCTTAAAATAATCTTTATCGACAATTAAATATTGCAATCTACATGTGATAAGTATCGACTCATCGATATCTTATGTTAATATGAACGCAGAGAACAGATATCTCGATTAACTACTGTGTATCTTTAAACTTTGGGTTCCATAACGACAGCTTCTGTCTTGTTGTTGAATATGGGTAATATTTTCGATTTCTGAAAAACAAATTTTTGCACTTCATCACCATCAGTTCACTCCGTAAATCTAGATGGAAATGAGACAAACTTATTATCTACATGCAAACGAATGAGATACTAACTTTCACAGAACACATTAAAAGTTTGGGGAAAAAGTAATAATAAAATATGTCTTAAACTTACTCCAATAAAGTTAAAGTCTCTTCATGATCCAACATCCACTTTCTCTGCTTTGGAGGATTCTGGACGGGAGTTTCATCGGTAATATGATGTAACCACATATGCCTATGAAAGTATGAGCCTAACAAGATTATACGTGAATCATCTAAAGTACTTCTTCAAATCATAATTTGGATGATAGCAGGACAAAACTGAACTTTGAATAATAAACTAAACCAAAATTACAGAAACATTAACTCACCATTCAGCGGGAATTTGAGAAGCATCGTATTCAAGCCAAACATGTTCTGGATATTCAACCCAGCGATTTCGGGGTATAAAATAAGAATTGTCCTTGAAAATGAATGGAAAATTTAACGATTTAATATCGAGTACAGTTATTCAACATGAATTAAAAAATTACGAAAAACCATAAAAGAAACGGTCTAACTAACTTCATAGTACTTATTGCCGAATTTGTCTTCCCCCATGAATTTCCCAATTCTTGTTTCATCCATCCTGAATGGAATACGGAAAAGATCAAAATGAAGAAAATGAAGAGAAACTGATAAAAATCAAAAATAACAGGAACACAAACATAACTGCAAGCATCTGAAGGTTGAATATTACAAATGAGATTCTATTGCACTCTAGCAATTACCTAACAACATACTGATATACTTACAAATAACGTTTCTTTACAAAACCAATCCATCCACCGCAACCTTTAACTATTTGGAAGAATTTCGTCCATATTCGCAAACCAAGAATTTCTTTCAAACTCATTGGAAACTGAAGGGATGACATATTATATATATACATAAACGAAATACCACTCCGCTATAGGAAATACTTCCGAAATTATGTGACATAGTCAAGAAGAGAATCCCACAGGAAAAACAGGAATCCCTAATTTTTCCAAAATATATTAAACACATCTCTATCCCAACCCTCTTTTCCGGATTGAATAATCCATGGCCTAGAGAAAGAATTGAACACTTCTCAGCACCACTCTTTCGATAACTGCACATGCAGCACAAACCACTAACAGCACTGCAGACTATCCTAAAACTTGTACCACACAACCAGCTTACTTACGCTACGACTGAACGTTATAATCAACTATGGCTTTCTTCGAGACAATTTGTGACACCAAAAGAATCATGACATAACATTCCGCTTAACTCTCTTTCCCTACACCCTCAATTCTCTTCCTTTCCCTTTCCACTTTCACAGATGAAGATTCCGATGATTATGCGTCTTTAATGCTATGAAGCCCCAAAACGCAATAAAATGCAAAGATGGAAAGCCAGTAGGCCGAACACTACCATGCAACAAAAGCTTTTTTATTCACATCTCTTCAACCAGTAAATAAAATCATTCACAAGAAAAAAGTGGAAAAAGGAAATATCATATTCTTTCTGGCATAAGATAAGTTGTACACTGATATCCACGTATTGTAATACTGAAAAGCCACATCAGAATAAACAAGCTGCGTTGTAAAGAAATGAAGAGACATATGGTACAACAGCAAGAATTATACAAAACATGCATTACATAAGTTTAACAATAATAACTGCATTCAATAAACCTGCTTCTTTCAAAGAAATATTTTCGTGTTCAATCACTTTACTCGGAAAGATTGTCATAAAACTGAAAGGCTGGAAAGCATAACCTGGCGCTGCGCTAAAAAATATAGTAATATTTGATACTTATTTAGTTGTAGAATTGCTGACACAATCCTCTCTAAAAACAACATTTAGAAATAAATATAAGTACAAATATCTATTGAAAAACTGTGACTCACATTATGAGAAAATTCCGAATGTCTCCAACTGTATGATTACGATTAAATTGCCCCATAATCCGCTCGCCACTTGGTAGCCGAATATGGATATGAGTAGTGGGCTCTCCATCAACTAGTTTTATCGCTTCTTGCGCTTTCTTAACAGATTCAGAATCTAAAAATCATCTAAATCTGAGTGTTTTTAGATTACTGAGTGACACTCTGGAACGTATAAATGATCGTAAAAAAACATCTTTCGAAACAAAACTCACTCTTATTCATAAAGTATTATAATTATGATGACAGAGAATGAACAAGATCATACTAATTTTTTCTTGTCAAGACGTTACAGACATAGCTTACCTACACGTGGACTCTTCGCTAGATTAGCACAACTACTCGTTTTTTGCTCCATATTTTCCGTTTGATCGAATTCAGGAACAAGTTCACCTAACCTCTGCCCTTGTCCAGTAAACGGTTTAGGTTTAACTACATATGTTTCACGTCGACGTTCCATTCGAATATCAATAATTTTACCCGGGTGTTGCCGTATTAACTCGATTGGGATGCGCCTAAACTACTTTAAATGCAAGTAAGAAACAAGATATTCTATATACTCTGCATGAGTAACTGCAATTATAATGCACAAAACATTACAAAATGTTGTAACGAACATATTTAATCAAAAGAATATCCACTGAAACGCTTCTACCAATATTAGCATGATTACCGACCTATCCTTATAAAGATCTATTAAACCATTAGCAAAGTTTTACATACAATTTAAGAGTCAATTTATCAATTTAGAGTTGGCTCTTTAGTCTCATTAGCCACTACGCCGCAAGATTTCTTGCTCTTGATTGACATGGCTAATATATTCCATTCTTGCTTGGTCAATGATAGTGAAGAACTGTGAAACGAAGTCTTCACTACGTGAACTATTTGATCCAAGCACTGAATACCTGGAGATGCATTTAAAAAGTAAACATAGAAAAAATTCATTTGATCAAATTGAAAGTTACCCTTCTCTAACCGACTGCAAAAACGGATGATTTAGCGTGTCGCTATAGAGTCGAAGTGGACCATCATCTACAGTAAATCCATTTTCCCACATGGCAACTGCCACTTCTTGCTGAAACAGAAAACTGATTATCCTCAACCTACTTCAGCAAAAAATTACTAAAATAAATTTTAAAAACTCAGTTACGAAACATCAAAATATTTACTATTTCAAGAGGTTCCGTCGACTGAAGCAAATCAGACTGCTCTGTACCATCTGGCATATTATAGCCTTTCTTCCTTGGAGCAAGCTTTATTGCATCATGAGTTCCTAGTCTGAGATTCTCTTCGTCTGTCAGAGGTTCGGCACCATGTGCACGGACTGACTTGAAGAACTGTGAAACAAAGTCTTCACTACGTGAACTATCTGATCCGAGCACTAAATTCCCACTGAAATACGTTTAAAATAATAATGAGATGTAAATATATTATGGTGTCCTACATAATTCTTAACAATTGCATTAATGTTTCTTAACTGTTTATTAAACTATATTTCAAATTTTCCTTTTTATCAAGTTCTGGTAGGATTAGAATAAAGTGGTATAGCCCATTATCATATATTTTCAAGCATTTTTAAATACTTAAGTGATTTTTCATTCTTTAATATGCAAAATTAAAGAACACATATACCTGAAGTTTTCGTAAAAAATTATAGTAGCAGAAAGCTCAAGACAAATCAAGTTTACCTTTGTCCGCTGCCACCGACAAAAAACCCTTGTTTCTCATCATCACTAGACGGACTATTACTTCGGGTTCCTTTTTTTTTATCCGATGAATGTAAAGTTGCAATCCTATAACAGTAACTTATAGTAAGTTTTACCATCCACACAACAACGAAAACTATTGCACGATAAATGATCGAGAGATTGCCAATGCACTACCGTCAACTGACCGTCCAATATCATACTAGTTTTCCAGTGACTTCATTTAATCCACCGCTGCCTTTTAGTATCGCTATACTTAACCGTCATGACATTCATACATTATGCATGTTAGGTATATACACTTCATAATCGCAGAAATATTACAGAATTAATGAAATGAATGACAAACCTGCGGTTCATTGTATAACTATGATATGAATGATTCAACGAACGACGTTACCGTGAGAAAAACCCTGAAATAATTTAGATACAACAACGTGTAAATGGACAAGTTAATTCGCATAATACCGCTCATTGCCATTCTACCACATTCACGTAAACCTCAGACCGAACAAAAACGACGCCTAATACCCTCTCTTTCCCACCATCACCTCTACCTATATCTATATCTCACGCTGGATCTGACAAAACATTGCAGTTAGTGGCTCATAATGAAAATTTCTATCCTCTTCTCGTATTCTCTCCTCACTTGACGTGCCTTTTTCACGTCTTTATGTGCATTTTTCGCATCCTCTTACGTACGTCCTCTGTTATTTGTAGTTTGGAACAGTAAAAAAATTACCCATAACGTAAACATAACACAATGGTTATCGTTTTATTTTAGCACATGAAAACCGGGGAACGAGTACAAAACATTATTTCTATAAGAAACCCATATGAACATTTTTGCATATACTTAAAAAGAATGCTCAATAATTGAAATCTTTGGGATAATAAAAAAAATTATGCATAGCATAAATAGATATAACTGAAATTAATGAAGATTAAAATTTTGTTTTAAAAATTTATTAATTGTGGAGAAATATGAATTTTGAGAGGAATGTGTCACATAAAATCTGAATCTAATCTTTAATGCTATGCCAAGTTACATGCTTTTCATTGCTACTAACTAAATTATGCGTGATGTTATAAATTCACTCATTGTAGGATTATCCTCACTATCATCCTTACCGATTTGTAATCACTGAGAAAATCTTATCAACGGTAATACTAATTAGCACTTATTGATGAAGATGAAATGCGAAGTCGATAAAATGTTTTGTAATAGCAAGACTTTCATTAAGATTTGTTGCACATTTTTTTTTCTTTACGTTTTAAAATTTTAAATTGACAAGTGCAAATTTCCCAGTAATATTACGCTAAACGAAGCATATCTTGAAAATAAAAAAAAAAGGATAAATCATTGTTTCATTTTCCACTATATTCTAGTAGCTTTTCATTTGAAATTTTTGCAATCACCATTTTCGCAAAATTTGCAATCACCATAGGCGTTGAAATTTTGAGGGCCGTTATACTGATATCCAGAACATCCTTAAAAAAGTTTACTCATCAATTAAAGTTGAATTTTGGAAATGTGTAAGTAATTAATTAGTTCGAATCCATCTTATATTGATCACAGCGAAAATCAGACAATTCTTAATTGTACTGAACCGTCTTACCAGGCTGCTCATCATCCATCCACATCCCTTCATTTGTTCCACGATACCTAAAATTCATACCGGTTGATATCAACAAGCATAAAATTACTTCTACATATAACAACTAAGAAATCATTGGAAGCGATTCTGCAAATAATTAATTGCGCTTTTCTTGAAGGTATTATGCTAATAACATTATTGAAAATTTCACATAACACAATGATAACTTAATTTTTGTTATCAGTTTGGCAGTTAAAGGATTTTACAGGAATGTGTTGACGTTTACGATTTTGTTTGACATGTTCGAATGCCTGTACCAGAGATTTGGACTCATCCAGAACACGCTTCGATTTTTCCAGAAGTTGTCTGTATTCCATTACCTACAACCGAGTATTTTGTTACATAAAACGGTATTTCTTGTTGATGAATTGGAAGACTATTCGTTAATGATTCTATGAAAGGGTTATATTAATATCCAATAATACTATGTCTTGTAAGATATACTTTTAAAATTAGCCTAACCTTTCTTTCACGAAATATCTTCGATTCGTGCAACTGTATTTTCACATTTTCCGAAACATTATCGACGACATTTTGCAACTTCATGACATGCTGATATACACCTTTCACTTCCTGAATATTGTAAGACTAATGGAGAAAAAAATGAAAGGAAAATCGTATAAACAGAATTTGGTAATTTGAAATTGCTCACATTGGTAGTTTGCTGCACTGACATACGCAATGTATGCATGTCGTTTTTCAAAATAGTAAATCGTTCCTCAATCATATCTCTTTTCTTCTCGAATGTCGTCTTTTGTGGTTCCTGCATATCTTCTTCCAGTTCAAAGTATCGTCGATCCATACTGTCCGTATTTTATAGTTTTATTGTTAAACGATTTTATCTCTCTGCAATTAATGAGATGAATTAAAAGAATCTGTAAGAAATAGGATAGGTATTCATTTGTAAGAATAATTTACTATTATTTTACTTACTTTAGTTTGCCAAATATCTTACTTTTCTCAATTGATTGTTATAAAGACGAAGTCTTTTATTATCCTTGAGCAGAAATTGAAATTCACTAAAAATAAAACAAACTTAAGATCATCTTAAATGGTATCATTGTTCACCTAAAACATATTTATTTTCTATTTAATTTATATCACAAAAATAATTATACGAAAAAAATACACGTAATTAAGCATGGTTATATATATTTAAATTAGTATATATCCATGGAAATGTATCTATTCACGTTTAAATTAATAACTTCTAACAACTGACGTGTGAAGCAGTCGAAGAAGAAAGTTACGAAGCCAAACAGCCGAATGAAGTGGAGAAAAAATGAAAGCGATTTTTTTCACCCAAACTTTAAATATATGTATGAGATAATCATATGCAAATTTTTAGAATTAACAAAAACGTTAATTCCAAGACTTGCATTTTTTTTCTCTCCTTAATTCGGCAATGTAATATGTAAGTTTTCTTATAATGAACAAATTTTCAACTAAAATAATACGTTGTCATTTACCAAAAGCTTACAATATTTCTTATATTTTTCTCTCTCATTGTTCACGGTAATATTGATCTTTTTTGCAGAAATCATTTGATATTCACAAACAAATAGACACCTGAAATAATTGCCAAATAGTTCAAAAATTATTTTATTCATAGTAAACTTCACTTTTATAAACTTATATAATCTCATAATTACAACGTTTGCTAATAACTCAACTATTGTTATTCACCCTGATAACTGGTGATAATCGATCTCTACTTATAATGAATTATAATAGTGATAACCTGAGTAAACAATCTCCGTATGATATTTCAATATAACATTAACACTTGCCACACGTCTTTTCAACAACAATTCGTCGTAAAATGGATACACATAGTAATTTGCCATAAAGTTGAAATTTAAACCATCGAAACAATCTGTATAATTCCAATTAATACCTTATGCCTCCGATAATAAATCATTAACAATACCAATTATTATTTCATGGAAAGAAGTGAAATTGAAATGGATTTGTTTATGGTGTAACTTTTACTTTACAGTTCAATAAATTTTACGGCACTGAAAATTTTCTCATTTTTTACAGTCCATCGGGTATTTATTCTACTTGCAAATAAGGTATTTAGGAAGAAATCTGAAATGAAAAATAGTGTAAGTGGTGTTAGTTACTTTGGACAATGAATGTTCTTTTTCTTTAAATCTAATATATCACAGGAAAAGAAAATTGAAATAATTTCAAGCATTCTCAATTCAACGAATGTTTTGTTTATCGCTACACAAATTACATCTTGCTAGATAACCTGGGAGAAGTATCATTTTTTATCAATTGATTCTTTCTTTTTCCCTTCTCTCTCTTTAAATACGCAAATTCACTGCGTGGTACCTAAAAAAGCATAAAAATGCAAAGAAGTGAGATTTTTAGCAATCAATAAAATGAAACTGTAACTATTTACCAAGTAAAAATATTTATCGCTTAGTAACAATTTATTTTAAAAAAAAGAGGTTATTGAAGTAAAAATAATTAATGTACAATTTAAATTTTTCGTTGAAACTTTTTGAACTTTAAAATTTTCTCATGAAAAAACTCTAGTGAAAATGTTGTTGTAATTTGAATTAGAAGTAATAAGAATGATAACGTTGTTAGTATTTATACGTAATTGCTGAATATTGAGCATAATCAATTTTCGTCTAAATCAGCATTTAAACATGAAATCTAGTTTCAAAGTGGCAAAAAAAGCTAATAACAGTACTTGTACAGCTTGAACTTTTTCCATCTATTCTTTATAAATCAGTGAAAAAAAATTTAAAACAAAAGATCATGAAAAAATTTTAAAAAGAAAGCAAATTCATAAAGTTATGCTTTTCTTTACGCGTCTCGTCTTAACGTCTTTGCAACGGAGTAAATTTTGGTTGAATATGATGGAATGATCGAATTTGATCTGCTAATCAATAATCATTGTAATTTTTGTTAACATTAACAGCATTTTCAATAATACTAATTATTTTTGATAATAACAATTGTTTCCATATATTATCATAGAAACAGTAATTTCTTTCAGAGTAATTGTTAACAAAATATCAATAGGTTTATCAGAGCAATTCTCATAATTTTCATATAGATTTTCATTTAATGAATTTTTTTATCACTTATAAAAAAAATAAATTTTTATTATTGAAGATTAACATTGGTTAAAAATTAATCGGTGATATTATAGGGCCAGAAAGAATTGTTGAAAAGAAAGATATTGTAATCGGTGTGATATCTGCGATTCGTCCTGACATTTCTATGCGAACAGCTAAACTGAATGTTTGTTAGAACTGAAAAGAAACAGTCAAAATGCTTACGGTAACATTATCAATTTATCATACTGTTCCGTTATTGATTTTATTTGATAAAAGTGTTGCTACAGATGTTCCCGATACAGAATTGAAACCAACGAAATTACACTTTCCCATAAAGCGAAAGCTTTTTTTCATTTGCTCATGATCTTAGTATGTCATTTTTACATCGCCGTTTGCTGGTACCAAATAATTTACAGTTTAAGCAATGTTACAATTGTTTCCGCTATTAAAATTCAAAATATATTTCATTTTATCATTGCTAATAAAGTTACAATTTCTAAATCTATTCAGATGATTTCTTCATATTTAGTAGCTTCCTCAAATGATTCAGTGAAAAAAGGTTTATCTGAGTAGAGAGAAGCTTAGCAGTAAAGAAAAGCAACTTTAATACTTTTACAAAATCATTAACATTTGCAACAACAGTAACTGCATAGTTTTTAGCATTTTCAAAAATTAAGCTTTAAGTTTTGTATCTCATCTGCTAGTTATTATGTTATCAGGGATTAGATTCAAAAAAGAGCTTTCATCTTAAAATTTCAAAACATATTAAAAACTGACAAATTATCGAAATCAGGGGAACGTGATTAACAAAGTTAGTCTCATTTTGGTTTCATCTTACAGTTTGATCATGAGCAAATGAAATTGGAGAGAGATTAGCAATGCAATCTGATAATTCATTAGAATCAAATTGTTACAGACAGTTTTTTTGAACACTGATCTGTTATTCATCGTCAAATGCTGGCTGGTAAAATCGTATCCGTAAGCTAATTCGAATTGTCATTATAAAATTATTTGCTATTTGATAAATAATTTAGCATAGTTTTGTGATTTTAAATTTCATTCAATATTTCAATAAGTTATGATAATCATTACAAAACATATGAAGAAACTTTTCTTTATTTTTATTACTTCAACATAAAAATTGCCACTTCAAAAAAAAATTGAAACTTATAAATGTTATGATAAGTTTTTAGTTTTAGCTCCAACTTTCTTTTTAGTGTAAAAGAGGAACGATATTTTTAAAATAATGGTACATAAACGAAAAGGCAAATTAGACACTATTGTGGTTGTCGGGAAAGATAAACGATGATAAGGATGATAATGGACCATTACTGCTGATTGATGATAACTTTTCCAATGTATCGATCAACTGGGCTTCCTATATAAATGGAGAGGAGATGAACTTAAAAATGCAAAAAGAAAATGACCTTTAGATTTTTTGATTTTACTGATATCTGAAGTATAAAAATTTATTATTACATTACTTTCGTTTATCATTATCAATCCATCATAGCACAAATTTTAAAACTTATTTGCATCTTTTTTTTTTAAAAAAAAAGCAATTTATGAGAACAATTGAATATAACGCATTTCTTGCTTCGTCTTTCCCCTCATTCTCATTATCTGTAATTTTTTGTTCAAATTTATCTGATAATTTGATTCGTTTTTTTTTTTTTTTTTTCATTTTCTTATTTTCCAATGAATGATCAGGAAATAATCCAATCGTAATTGCTATAGCACCAAAGTAAAGAATGGGTATGGCAGGAGAGAGAGAGAGAGAGAGAGAGAGGTTGATTTTATGTCTTCTGTTGAATGCATTTATCAAATGAATTGCTTGGAGTGCTGACCATTGGTCATGTTCGATTCTGCCGAAAATCAAAAGATTGAAACGACATGCTGTTGAAGCCAGAGATGGCTTGTTGCTATGAATGAATTTCGTCCTATTTCGATGTGTGCATTTTTGTTGGTAGCTTTGCAGCCTCATATAGCATTAAATTTATGATTGAAGAAAGAATGAAAGTATTGAGCAGAGGGACTAGCAATAGCAGCATCGAAAGCAGCGGCAATAGCATAAATCGCGAAGAGAGCCAAGGGAAATAGATGGGCTTATTATTGCAGCTGCTTTATTGCTAGTTTAACTCTGCTATTTAAAGTAGGCTATTTATGAAAAGAAGAAGACAGTGTGGTGTTGAAGATTTCAAGTTTCTTCGGTCATTGTCCACCCTGAACAGTTCCTCATCTGGCTACTCATTTCTCATTCTGTATTGTTTTGCTTTTGGTCAGAGCAAACAGCTGTCTATGGTCATATTTCATCAAGCCATTTTACACAGCTCACTTCAATTTGATTATCAATGATGTCCATTATTTGTACAGTACAGCATAACCAGCTGTGTAATACTGCTATTCAGTAATGATTCTTTATTGGTCACACTGTGCTGGTCATCATCATCTCTTGCAATCATTTCCTAAAATTGATTGTTCAAAAGTTTGAATGCTTCAATGGGACAACAATCCTACTATCCTTTGTCACTTTTTCTTTTCTTATTCTTACCTGCTTCCTCGTTTCTTTCAGGTAAAATATCATTGATGCATTTTTATTTTTTCTTTCTCTTGTTACATTTCAGTTTTTTTTTTCAATTCTGATAAATTCAAGTCCTTATTTGATTTTCTTTGCGGAATGAACTTTAAATTTAATCTTTTAGTTTGAAAAATCTAACGAAACGTAACAGAAAATTAATTTAGTAAATGTTAATTTGCAATAAATTTCATTCATTTTTTAATGATCACCCACAGATTGGCACAATTGTTTCTTTTTATTTTGATAATTGAATGATAGATTATTTTCTCAGTAACAAATTTAACTTTGGTGGATGGCTTAAGTTGCGGGGAACAAAGTTTTTCTGCGTTAAGCGCCGATCTTGATTTCTTACATATCATTCAAAAGATTGCAATTTTGGCTCCATTATCATTATTCTATGTATATATCGAAGTTAGTGATGATCATACTGCGAAGATTCAGCTACGCACTCCTAATGGATCGCCTTTGGTATGTTTAAAAGTTGGCAACATTTTTTCTTTTAATTTAAGTTGTAATTTTTATATTTAAAAACTAATCATTATTGTCAACTATTATTTAATAAGAAACAATATTGCATTAGACCATATATAATAAATTTTGGTATGTGTTTCAACACAAAAAAAAATTTCAAAATATTGAAAAATTTCTATGTAACCATAACGATCGATATGATACTTATTGTAATTTTTTTTTTTTTTTGGATATGTTTTGAGAGAGAGCTTTGTGTGATGCAATCGAATTATATTGAAGATTAGTATTTATGGATAGTTTATTTGTTCTTAATATTACAGTACAGGTAATTAGGAATTATCAAGCATTTAGCCGTTCTTCTTTACTAGTTGATACGAGTAATAAGTTGGGATTGTTCATTAAGGTAGTGATTTTGATGGTAAGATCGCTTTGTTTTAGAGTAATAAGTTATGCTTTTCTTTCGAGTTAGATGACGCTCGATAATAAATTAACAATTGATCATTTTGTAGATAAAATTAATTTTGGTGCAAAAAAAGAAGAAAGAATCGCTTGGTCATTTAAAAGATGAAAATGATGGTAAAAATGAGATCACTGAATGTAAATCATTAGCATTATTCATGCAACACGAAAATATACAAAGCATATATCCTATCATTTGATTGAGAATATTCGAGTTCTATAATACGAATATAAAGATGCATTAATTATTTAAACATCTTTATATTATAAGATTATTTCGGGTTTCCGATAATACTTATCAAAATAATATTGCACCGTAAAAATAAAACTTATCAAGTAAATTGATTTTTAAATTCATACAATCTCAAAATACAATTAATGTCAACATGTATTGAAAAATATCATTTATATTTTATTATTAATCTGAAATTAAGATTTTATATTCTTCACTGTCTGCTGCCGCTTCTGAATGGCAAACATTGGATGTGCTTACAAAAAGAATTTATATTGTGCCCGTCTATAATTCTGATAGCGATATTATTCCTACGGTCGTAATTACTTCCTGCAAATATTGTAAGTATTTCAAAAAGGAAAAAAATGCTTTTTTTGAAAAAAAGTATTTCAAAATAACTTCTTTAAAGTTATCATTTTAATTATGTAATCGTGATAGATAGGAAGGAAATGTAATATTGTAGTAGTTGAAAAGTAATGAAAAAAAAATAATGAAAAAATACTTGTTGCCATCTTAATTAATTAAAATTAAGCGATACGAATTATGCAGATAATTTAACTAGCAGCAGATGAATTTGCCAGATGAAATAATTTAAAGAGAATGTTTTTAGCCACGCCTATATCATATTTCAATGATAATATGTATTTTGTTGATGCGCATAAAGTTGGTATCGTTTCCACATATGAAAATCATCTGATTATTATGTTTCGCACATTTGAAAATGGAATATTCATATTTTCAATGGCCGAACAAGGCGATTTATTAATTGCTCAAATTATTCATGGCAAAATTTTTATTATTTTTGATTTTGGTTAGTTAGTTACACTCTATTTGTTGATCAATTTAGTGAAGTTTAAATTAATCTTTCATAGAAAAGAATCTATAGCATAGGTAATCTATAGAAACGTCATATAATTTTAGAAATTTTCAAAATCAAATTTTAGGCTCACTTACTCGAACAACAATTTCTGGGGGAACAGCATTAAACGATGGTGAATGGCATGAAATCCGTTGGATACATCAGTTTGATTCCGTACAATTATATGTGGACGGTGTTATCATGAATACTACTATCCCGTCTGGTCTGTATAGGAAATTGGATTTCGATTCAAAGATTTATATTGGTGGGCGACCAGTGGATGATGATATGAATATCGACATTGAAACAAGTTATCATGGATGTTTTGCTCGAGTCGTGCTCAACAATATTGACCTCTTGGCTGAAATACCCAGATCACTACGCAAAGACTGCCAAGTATTCAAATTTTTTATTTTAATTTTATATTCTAAAAAGCTACATTAAAAGTGAAATCAGCTACTGGGAATTTGGAAATGACATGGAAGAAATCTCTTTCTTTTTTTTAAAAAATTTAAATTTTTCCGGAAAATGAAGTTAATGGAGGAAATTCTTTATCGTTTTGAATTCATTTTTTTTTCAACAACATATTTGATTTTATTTTTCAAGAAGAAAATTAAAAAAAGACAGATACAAAACATTTAAAATTTCCTCATAGATACCAAAATCACATCCAATGACCATAATGACGGGAGGCTATGTGACAATACCATTTTCATTTCTGCCATTTTCAATCGAATTTCGTATTCTACCTCAGCCAAGTTCTATATTATTATTAACCGATGCAAATAACAAATCGCTCGCGCAAATAGCACTCAACAGGAAGGGTTTATTGGTTTTGACATTGTTTACTAATATGTCTGAAGTTGAGCAGCTGTCACAATCAGGTTTGAATTAATTTTGAACTTTCCAGAATCAAACTTCTTGAATTCCATTGATTTAATTAACAAAGATTGCAATTCTTATCAACATTTCAATTTTGTTTTTTTCAACATATTATTTACATCAAGAAAAAATTTCAAATATCTCAAAATAATATCCGGAAAATATAGGCAAATTAGTAAATGATAGCAGTTGGCATTCTCTATCACTGATGATTTGGGGAGCTCGATTACACGTTGACGTGGACAGTTACACGGTACTTTGGTCAGAGGGAAATGTGATACGAAATTTAGCTAAACAACTTACCCATTTTCATTTATCAGCAGTTGGATGTTATCGATCGGCTACTACAGCTTTTAAGTCATCAAATTTAATAGGCAATGTTACATTGGATGCATGTCATTTTCAAGAAAGGTAGTTAATTTTTACTTGTGCATCAACAATTTCTAAATATTTTTTCAATTTCAAATAAGATTATGAACATACTAATGTTAGTACGTACCAATGTACCAGTATTATTTGATACTTTCTTTAAAATACAAACTTTTATTTAAAATAAGACTTTAAATGGCACATTTTTAACGTAAACTTTTATAAAGTATATGAAAGATAATGGTAGGAAAATAATTTAATGCATGATCGTTCAATTAAAGATCAATGATATTGTAAAAGGGCTTACAAGAATAATAAAACCAAACTTTTTTTCTAGATGTCTTCCGAATCCTTGCGAGAATCATGCCATTTGTAAGCAGATATCTTTGAATGATTTCAGTTGTAACTGTCGTGCTAGTTACTACGGAAAAACATGCCATGCAAGTGAGTTAACAAATTGTATTCATTATGAAATATCTGAGATAATTATGTTTGAAAATTTAAAATAACTATTATTTGATGAATTAATTGCAATCATACATACATTTGGCAATACTATCATTTTTGTAATATCTTGTAGAAATAATATAACTCACATGATTTCATCTCATCAGTATCAATTTTATAAATTTTTAAAGAATGAAAGATTCATTCAACTGTTGTGATGCTAATAATTTAGCACGAAAATATCATTCCTGTGAAGAATTCTTTCTGAAGAATCAGCATATCAAAAGCAAGAATGTTACAATTGATCTGGATGGTGGAAATCCACTGGAACCATTTACTGTACAATGTGAACAAAATTTCAAAGATTATGATAATATAAGAATTACTTCAAAAATATTCCATCAGTTTGGTAATAGTGATATAATAATTAATGGAGATTATGAACCAGGTTCCGTCAAGAGGTCATTTGATTATGGTATTACCATCAATCAATTAGATCGTTTTATCGATGGATTTGAAAATTGTGTACAGGTACATATATTTTTGTAATATTTTGTTTCATCATGAATGTTTAATGCTAAATAAATGATTCCTTTATTTTTTCAAATTTATGCAAATCTAAATGAAGTGAATAGCATATTGGATAATTTCACTAAAATAGGTGATACACTTTCAGTACATGCGTTATGAATGTCGAGGAGGTGCAAAATTGATGATTTATGGTACAGAAGGAAGGCCATCATCCTGGTACAGTACACGAAACGGTCAACATGCAATGCAGTGGGGTGATGCACCACCTTATTCAAGGATGTGTCCATGTGCTGCTAATTTATCCTGTACACACAATAGGTTTCAATACTTTCTCAAATATACTCATTATTTTTATTACTGGATAAGTAAATATTGGATAGGCAATCAACTCGAGTTATTCCTTAGGTATACATTTAGCAACTTCAACGATATCTTGTCTTCTCATTCATAGTATACTTTATATAACTTAGTATTTCTTTCAAATGCCTAATTATTAGTGCATTTCAGAATGTGTAATTGTGATAGTGGTGAAGATGGTGTTGATGAAGGATACAATCCCCATATGCAATTGCTACCAGTGATGAATTTATACCTTGGAGGCACAACAGCTACATCTTCAATAAATGTTTTTATTGGTCCTCTTATTTGTAGCGAACGTCGTGAGTGTATCTTTGCTACTTTGTGTTACCAATTTATTCTGTATAGAAGGCAATTATGTTGAATAAAAAATATTTTGAGAATGCTCTGATAGAAAGGAAAGAATGTTGGCTATTGATGTTATTTTCATGCAGATGTATTTGATGGAATAACATTTTTGAATCGCAATGCTCGTTTGGCTGGTTCACAGGCTTTGTTCGGATCAGTGATGGATCTCGAGTTTCAGATACGTATGTCACATGCTCAAATGACAATTTTTATTTGGGAATCGTTGAATGGACAACGTTGGTATCAACTTGATCTTACAGGTTATTAGTTAAGAAGTACTTCATGAAAACTTTCTCATTTTATCTTTCCTAATTAATTATTTGATTCAGCTTATTTTTCTAGAATGCAATTCATTTTTTTTTTTCGCCTTTTCTCTACGATTGTCTTCCTCATTTTGACTTCTTGATTATAAAAATATTTCGATTTAAAAATAAATGATGAATCTTCAGATGGACGCTTGGTAGGACAAGTTGTAAGTGGAAGTAAAGTTTTTGAAATCCAATCGAAAATGCGTATAAATGATAACAGATGGCATACAGTGTATTGGGAAGTGAACATAAATGGAATGATGTTGAACGTGGATAATGAAAGTATCTTACTGGATGTTTATGTTATACCTCCGAATGTTTACACTTGGATCATTGGTGAAGCATTTTTTGTTTTTTTTTCCTTCAATCGTTATACTATATCTTAGTGATTAACTTCAATAAATTACAGGATCACGAAGTGAACGTGGTTTGTCAGGTTTTGCTGGTCAGATTCGAAATATGTATTTGTGTGGCAATGAAATTATGTTACAATCATTGGTCAGGAAGCAAGGACGAGGCATGAGGGTTCGTTTTATTTTAGCTAACAAGCATTTTAGAAGATGAAATTAATATTTCCAATTTCTTTTGTTATTAAATCATGCAAATTTGTTACAGTATATGGTAAGAGATATCCACAATCTGAATTCTTTTTTGACAAGATTGCTTAAGAAAAAAAAATTTATCTATTTTATTTTTTTGAAGAAATTTATTTTTTTATAGTTTGAGATGGTAAGAGGTATCTTTTTTCTTTTATTTAGGGTATCGAAATTGGCGAAAAAGGGACATGTAAAAGGGATGATTGCTTAAATCATGGTCAATGTATTGAATTTTATGACAATCACAAATGCAGTTGTGATAACACTCCATTTATTGGCCAAAAGTGTGACCAAGGTAATTTTTAGTTTTTTAGATTATTGAATTTTATGATTGATTTAATTAGAAATCATTAAGAAATAAACGCTTTCAAAATATAATAAATAGTAGGAATAAGTAAAGGATCGATTTTGATCATTTCGTTAAATGGACAATGAAATTATAGATGTCAGTATATTTGTGCCGAAAGATTCTGAATTAACGATTCCGTGGCAAAATCCAGCTCAAGTATCATCGTGTTTCCGGATTGCTGTACAATCATTTTCCTCAAATTACTCATTGATAAAAGCAAAGGCATTATTTGCAGACTGTCAGTTTAATTTGACTATCAATCAAAAAGGTTACATTTTATTTTATTATAAAATTTCTTTTGGGTATTTTATCGGATGCAAAAGTGATGACAAATGCTGTTCAGACATGACGGAATATGTTTCTGCAAGTTTCAGGCAGATCAAAAAGGACATTTAGGCTTGTTAACTAGCTAGCACTAGATGGTTCGATCAATTAATAGCACATTGATTGATTAAAGCGAATGAAAGATTTAATGATCGGTATTTCAGATACTGCATGTTTTGCTAACCTTGGATGCAAATAATTTGACCACTGAAAAAATTTCAGTGAAATCTTATTATCAGGAAACTATTTTCAAGAAACTATGAATGTTATTAATAATTTTTATAGGTTATCTTGAATTATCAGTTTTTGATGGCTTTTTCTTTCACTATAAGGCCACAGATATTACGCATAAATTTGGCGATAATGAACTCACTGATGTCAATTTTTGTGCGGAAAAGACTGAATTTACTCTTCAGGTTGACTAAAAATATCTTCAAAGCTATAAATAAATTTAACAGTTCCAGCTTAATTCGTTTTTTTTCTTTCAAAATTCGACGTTAATAGCGAAAGTAATTAAACATTGTGAAAATAAAATGAAGAAAAAATACATTTTCAGTGATATGTTATCGATAACTATGACATAATATCTTGATAATTTTTGAACAATGTGAATGAATTTCAGCCTTGAATAATTTAAGTTTTTACAGATTAACGGTGAAGATGTTTTCCACATAAATGGTAATTGGTCATTTTTCCCCCAGCTTAATGTCTGGAAATTCATTGATAAAAGTAATCTTTATAATGTTAATAATAAATATTTACTAATTCTATTTTTTCTCTACAATTGTTGGTATTGTAATTAGCTGTAAATGATTTTCTTTTGATCGTAGATTTTACGGGCTGTTTGACAAGGTTGCAAGTTGGTATCTCTTTTCCTCTAAAAGATCCATCATCATCACGTCTTTTGTACAAAGGTGGAATACGATTTGAAGGTTGTCCGCATAATCATATGTGAGTTTCTCAACCACTTGATATTTTGTATTTTTGAAGCAAGAAATTTTAGAAATGGCACTCGCAACTTCGTAGGTATTCTTAAAGACATTTCTCGAAGCTTAGCACCAGACATAAATGTATAATATTTTTGTACATCCCTAATTGACAAAACCACTGCATATTACTTGAATGATGTAAGGATTAAAATTAAATATGTTGTAAACAGTATGAATTTTGTGGATTCAATACATTTCAGATTTTTTAATCAAATACCGAAAGAGGAAGAAAAATCATCGCTGCCTAACATTCATATCAATGCTATCATTGAACATCGTGCTTCTCCATTGGCTTTAGCACGTAAGATTTGACGACTAATTGTCCGGTGGTCAAGAACTTTTCCTTTGTTTTTTTTTTTTCACGTATATTCTCAGTGATGAACAGAAAATTAATAAATTATTTATCATTATGAAACATGAACATTATGAGACTTAGCATAAAATCAATCTACGAACACCAGAATTCATGAAATTTCTTTCTTAATTTTTTGTTTTCAGCAATAATTGCTGTTGTTACGGGTTGTTCTCTTTTTTTGCTCATCCTTCTTGTTGGTATATGTTGGATTCGAAATCGGCCTGATGGTGTGTATAAGACGAACGAAGATATTTTAGCATATTGCAGTCCGAATCGTTCTGGAGAGCCGCTTGTTGCAATTAATTGCATTGATAGGGAATACTATTGTTGATAGCTCAAACTCACATACTTTTTTTTGCTTAGGAATTTCAAATTAAACATTGTCCAGAACTGACTGTTTTTAACTTGACAGAAATACATTCCTGAAATCTTTCTAGATTTCTCGTTTCTTTTCTTTTGGTATAACAATCTTACTGATCACATACAATTCAATCGGAATTAATGTGGAGAAGCTTCTCCGATGAAGACACTCCCTCGTGATATATTAACTACCTTATTATCAGAAGATATGATACCGAATATCTAATTAGTACTGGTATTGAGCTACCTGCTCCATATAGCAGCATTTGCCGTTTTGTTCAAATTAATTAAATGAATTATCATTGCTATTGTAAATTGTTAATTTACATATATTTCTCCCTTTTATATTTATCATATCTCTGTCTAAATGTTCCGATTAAACGGTCTTATATAAAAGCACAAAAATCATACTTTTCCTTCTTTAATTAAGCCTTTATGTTTGCTCAAATACTATTTGTTAAAGTAAATATTAAGCAAAGCCTTCATGAATATCACAAAAACCTGAGAGCTTGAACTTTTAGCATAGTACATGGATCGATTATCTTATTCGATAGCACTGTATATTTTCTGTAAGTTTGCATTTAAGACAGTAAGAATTGAAATGCTGTAAATGTAAATATAAGAATGATTTGTGGCTTTAACATCAGATGTCATCTCATAAATTTCTAATGATAAGTCAAACAAAACTGGCATCAGAATCATTGTAATCGAGATAAATTTGAGAACATTGAATTCAACCAGGGAAATTAAAATAAGACAAATTTGAAAACATATGAATACAATCAACGAAGATGAAGTTTACTGCAGTTGTCACATTCTTCGAGTCTCATTATTCGCTATGTCAAATCTAAATTTGATTAACAGTATTTTATGATGGAGAACAGTGGTAAAACAATAAATTTAAATAACAAAATGCAATATTGTCATTCGATTGATGGTAGAAGGAGCTATCATCAGTTTCATCCTTGAAATGAAAGAGTTATTACAGTTGGTAAAATAGACTTTTAAAGGATGAAATAATCCAAAATAATGCAATTTATTGACTTTATCGAAGGATCGGTTTTGTTAGAATTTAAATAAGATAGAACTTTTTTACCTGTGTATTGGAGCTAGCTGATGATGAACTCGCACAGAAACTGTCTTTGCACCGAAACATATCCTTTCGAATTCGCGGTGATACCGCTCGTGGTGGTGTCCCAACAGCTGGCATATTTGGTATATCTAACGAAGGAACCAATTGATGCCCTCGTACTGTCTTCCGCACTGTCAACTTTTCCAGAATCATGGTTGTGTTTTGTTTAGTTGTTATTAGTTCTAAAATGAAACGGATGCCCCAATACGAAACAGATGGAGATAGCAACATGAAGCGCTATCAGTCTTACATAATTATTCAGCAACGGTGCGTTAGATTTATGTCATACATACACCTGTTTAAAACTGTGATTCTTCGCTATGATTTATTTTGCCTTTTCAGCTTACGTAAAGCTTTCAAAAACATTCTCACTACGTGTTGACATTACTCAGCATAACATGATCTTATCGCAGTACGTCATAATACAGTAATTTTATAGCAATATCGTTATAATACAATGACTTTATC